AAAAAAACAAACAAGACTGGAGAGGAGATTATCACACCTAGAGCAATGCCCATCTCCCAGAGCCCTGCTACAGACAGGTTAGTGTGGGTGCAGAATAGGGAGGGAAGATCTGGGACTGTTGTTTGGGGATGATTATGCCAGAGAGCAAGGTGACAGGAAGGGAGGATGTGAATGTGGCGGTCCAGCTGCAGCAATTCCTGACCCCAACCATCAGTCCAGAGAGCTCCTGGGGCTGGGGGTCACTGGGGAATTGAGTCAGCCCGTCCAGACCTTGCTAAGAGAGCTGGAGTCTGGTCTTGACCGTGCTGATGAAATGAGCCTTCCCAATTCTCCCTTAAGAATATTTATACCCATGATCTCTCTTGGAAAACCAGATGAAGGGGAAAAGAGCCAGAGAATCAAGGAAGTTCTTAAAGTCTAGCTGAAATCCTTTGATTGTGGGGATAAACTTAACTGTAGTCTCCTGTCTCAGAGCAGTCACTCACTGGTGTCCCCTGCACCTGCAAGCATGGGGTGATCACGAGCGGTGTCCTCTCTTCAGCTGGGCAGCAGGGCCTCCTCCCTGCCATCACTCTGGGGCACTTTCTCCGAGGACAGTTCCACCCTAGCTTGGCCAACTCCTCTCCTTGCTCTTCATTTTCCACGTGCTAAGCTGTGGAAGATTTCCCAAAGGGCTCACTAAATATGCTTTTCAAACTGCTCATTTATCACTATCACGGTAGCAAGCCAAGAAAAGAGCGATCATTCCCTCTGTCTTGGAGCCTCTGAACATCCCAGCGGCCACCACCCATGCATTCTTAATGTTGTCTAATGCTTCACAGCCTGATCTGCAAAAATTTCTACTCTTCTTGTTTCCAGAGAAAGAAATATTATATAACGAGTTCACATAGGCTCCTTACAGTTATAGATTGACCTGCTAAGGCGTGGAAGTGGCTTTCACTCCAGGTGTGGGACCTAAGACCAAAGACAACCACAGCAGCAGCTGCTCATTTTGTTGGTCCCCAGCAATAAGGACAAATAAGGAAATGAAAGGAGATTTCCTAAGTGAAATAAATAAGTCACACATATGCAAATACTGAATAGTTTCTCTGGTGTGAAAAACTATAATAGTACACAAGATCCTAATGAGATAATTAACAATGTGAAGTAGGAAGAAAAGGGCTAAAGGTATAGGGAAAGTGGGAAGGGTAGGGGAAAGGGAATAAGGGGAAAGAAAAAATATGAGAAAATGAAAAAATGGAAATGAAGTTTTTATAAATAGGGAGGGGAGGAGGGGGTGAAGGGAGGGCAGGGACAAGGGGAAAAAATGAGAACCAAGACCTGTCATGTAAAGGTGCAAGATCCCAATGATGAAAGTAACTGTGCTGTATACCTAAAATGTACCAATAAACTCAATAAAAAGAAAAAAGAAAAAGAAAGGAGATTGCTAAACCAAATGATTTTGTCATATTCTAGGTAAGCAGAGACAGCACCTCAGAGAAACAGCTGACCACATATGGGAAGCAGGACTTCCTGAGACCAAAGCAGAGAATGCCGGAGGGTCTGCAGTACAGGCAGAGATTCAGCTGAAGAGGAGGAGATAAAGGAAGCTACAGTATAGAAGTGACTGTTTCGGATGCAAATCTCTGTGTTTTGGGCCTCTCCCTGACGGAGAGGTGGAGCAGGGCAGAGATGCTGGCACAGATTTCCTCATTTGACCCTTTTTAATCTGGCCAAACCCACCTTCCTCTTCCTAGGCTTGATCCCTAGTGAATGTTTTGGAAAGAGCCTGGGTGCTCACGGGGAGCAGCTGCCACCACCAACCAGTGGCAGGGCAGAAGCTGATGCTGGTAGAACAAGGCCAGCTGGCGCTTTCTCCTTGTTTCCAGAGAAGCTGGTGCCACCAGGCAAGACCCATGCCCATGTGAGCTGGAGGTCAAATAAAGCTCACTCCAAGGGGTGTGGGCACTCTTGAGCCCTACATAGAAGCATGGCAAGAGATCCCCTTTGTAGGCTACTGGTGCTATACGCGGTTGTCTTCTGGTGACTCGGGGCTCGGTCCCTGGTGAATAATAGGTGAGCCGCAGCTGAATCCATGGCTTCCGAAGGGGAATTACTCACTTTATCTGACTCATTATCCTCGGGCAGATTTCCTTTAGGAAGCAATATTTGCTTTTTAAAATAAAATGGCAATGAGGGATTTGTTGCTCACCCATCACAATAAATCGGTGTTTGCAAGGCTGATCATGGCTGCTGCTTTCCTCTGCCATCAGAGCAGGCTCCGGAGCACCTGGCATCAGGTGATGTCCTGGGGCTCAGGCCTTGCCAGCCAAGGACACCCAAGAGCATGCTGATCACCTAAAATAGGAGCCAGCAAATTTCAGTCCCCAGGCCGGTCCACCCGTGTTTGTGAATAAGGTTTTTGGGGGACACAACCATGCCGTTTGTTTCTGCATTGTCCACATCTGCCTCTGTGCTACACAGCAAAGAGAACTAATTGTGACAGAAGCAGTAAGATCTATAAAACCTAAAATAAAATACTGCCACTTGTTCTTTTATGGAACAAGTTTCCAACCCCTGTTCCAACATAGCTTTCTCAACCATAAGTTATATTGCTTCTTATATGCAGTACAAGAAATATAATAAACCCCCAAAGTCCATATAAGTTTAAAAAAATATTCCAGGAGTCGATCAGCATCTTTGGTGCTAAACTCAAATATCAGCAATTAGTAATTAACTGAAAATTCACACAGAAAGGAAGTGAAATCTCACGGGCAGACACATATTCATGGATTCTGGCTATTTACCTCCCTCCAATTATTTCATGCTGAAGTGGTTTAGCACTACAAGAATATGTTAAGCAATTAATTAACTAGTCTGTTTATGCATGCATTTTTTACTTCAACAAATACTTGGTGAGCCGCAGGCACTGGGCCAACCCTGTAGAAGATAGGGAACAAGACTGACTGCTTGGACTAGAGAGGAGAGGCACTTGTCTGCACACCACATGTGACCAAAGGTCACACAATGAGATGTGGACACCAAGGAGGACTGCCTGATAGACTGTGTGTGTTGTAGTAGAGGTGTCTAGGAAGCTTTCTTAGGGAAGCTTCTTATTTTGTTTCGATGCTACTTATTCTTTAAGAGGTTGAATATGATGACTTCGATAGTAATTTATCTTTACCTCTGTCCCCAAGGAAGCATGACATATGTGAGAAAAACAGTTGTCTATGAAGTGGCAGGGAAGGTGTTGTCCTAACAGGAAGCCTAGGGAGCCACCACCCTGCAGCCTCACCTACCTCGGGATTCTGAGCCTCTGTCTAAAGCATCTGCACATGTGTGCACACCCAGCTCCTCCTTTTGCACTGGGAGTTGACTTTCTTTCATGTTGTGCACTCTGCCACCCAGTAGAAAGAGATGGTGCTCAGTCTACTCCAGGGCCTGATGGGATTCCAGTTGGAGATATTGGGACATAAGTCCTTAAGCCTAGTGCTAAGCCCTGGGTGACAAGGAGAGAGGCAGCATGAATGGCAGAAAGAGACCCTGACAGTTGAGCAAAAGATGATGTCCTTTTCCTGATGAGTACAAAAAGTGGGACAAGGACCACTCAACAAGGTTATAGTTTTCCATTCTCATCTCTCCAGGGCACGTTGGGGCTTGGGTGCCAAACTGTGTGGACTGGGCTGCAGAAGGTCAGTGGAGGGTGGGAGGGCTCCACAGAGGTTGAACGGCCACATCTACAGAATCATCTGATGGGCACTGGAAACCCCTTCAACCACGGGCTTCCAGAGTACTTCACAGTCAGCTGTTAGAGTCACCAGCACTCAGGTCTTTTATAATTGTCCATTACTTGTGTGTGCATCCAAAGAGTTAATGGTTTCAGGGAATAATGGTTTTTATCTAAGTCAGCTTCCCACTCTTCTCTGCCACATTTTGGGTTTGAACCATTCAAGGTGCTATTTGAAATCTCTGCTTAGCCAGTTGGTGGCCTTAGGAACACTTTAGTAATAGCTAATATATTTTTGTGGCTCCTGTACTCCTGTTCCTTCGAATCAATTCAAGACAATGGATATAACATGCAACCAAGAAAATATAATTGTATGATGGGGGAAAATAAGACTTTGCATTTTTAAGACCTAGACAGCCTATCCTATGGATAGACAGCAATCCTATGGAAGCTTTTAAATGTGACCACTTCCTGTGCTATTTTAGGGAAAGACAGCATTGAAAATGCAGCTTTGGTTAATCTAAGATGCAAAAACAAATTGGTGACTTAAATGTAGCATCCAAGTTATCTGATCTACAAAACAGAAAGCCTGTCCACAAAGGTGAAACTGTCTCATGAAATAAAGCTATGCAGGACTCACTGACCTGTTCTTAGACAAATGGAAGGTCAGAGGTCACATCTTCCAAATCCTTCACTTCCTCCTTCACAGGGCTGCTGACAGCAGCCTTAGCACTGAACAAGCTACTTGTGATCAGCCAGCAAGTGGGCATCTAGGACTGGAGCTCTTGTCTCAGAACTGCTTTTTTGGGCCTTTGTCACTGTGGCATCCTTGCCATTCACCTTACCAGGTTTGGAAACATCTCAGTTTTGCCACTTTGAGCAAATCTGCTTTCTCATTGGGTCCACTGCAAAAGGAGCATGAGTTCCCAAAGTAGCAGTCAATTACTCCACAATTTTGATCACCCAACACCTGCAGCCCTTCAGATACACTTCATCCTGTGTTCAAAGCAAACTTGGAACCTCGATGCCCAGCTACAGGTAGGCACCACTTTTAGGGTACAACATATGGGAACCCATATATATGTTATTCAAATTCTATAATTCTCTACCCAAAAAAAAACAGTTACTTTACATAGGTTCCCTGGTGCATGTATCCAAAAGTTAATTTACACACACACAAACACACACACACACTCTCTCTCTCTCTCCTTGCAAAGGCCAACTCCAGTGAGATGTACTCAGCCTAGAAAATACAAACTTTGAGAAAACTAATACATGACATGAATGTGCTTACCAGCTGCTGGCCTTTGGGGCCCCACCCTGCATATTGAAGCTTTGCATTGCTGACTTCTGGGGGGTCCAGACTCTGAGGGTCCCTAAAAAAGCAAACAAGAACAAAAACAAAGTGTTGCAAACCACACATTTAAGATGCTTCATTTTCGCCTCCAGTTGTATTTTACTCCTTTCTCCTTTCATTGCATCAATTTCAGGGGCTGCGTCTTGTGTTACTAAACAATGTCCTGTTCATTCTCTACTAGATTTCTCCAAACATACATAATTTATGTGAACCTGAAATAGGTCCTCCACTGCTTAACCCCGATGGTAAATATTCTAGAGAAAACATGCAGAGAAGTCTACAGATCAAGTTTTAAAATATCCAAGATAGTGAAAATTAAAAATAAAAATGCACAGCCATATAGTAATAAATCCCCACAGCTTACCTTTTCATCTTTGGATCTCTAACAGAATTTTTTTTCCCCTAAGAATAATGCCAGGAAATTCTGACCTTCTAAAGCCCAGGATTTAGAACAGATTGAATCCTTTGGTTTCTGCTGATTGGTACAACAAGAGAGAGATAAAGATAGAAATAGAGATGGAGATAAGAGTAGAGATAGAGAGACTGAGATTTTTTCCCCTATCAAACATCATTTTTATTTTCATTTTTAATTTATTGATATGCAAAATACCATGCCAACAGAATCCTGTCTATGTATGTGAAGGTTACAGTAAATAAAAGTCATAGTAAAAAAGTTAAAAATGAAAAAACTTGGAAATAGCCTATTTGCCCATCAGTTGGAGACTGGATAAAGAAGATGTGGTTTTTCCACAAAATGTAGTACTACTCAGCTGTAAAGAATGAGGAATTAGAGTCATTCATAGGAAAATGGATGCATATTGAGGATATACTCTTAAGTGAAATAAATAAGTCACACGTGTAAATACCGAATAGTTTCTCTGATGTGAAAAACTATAATGGTGCATAAGATCCTAATGGTATAACTGACAATGTGAAATAGGAAGAAAGGGGCTAAAGGTGTAGGGGAAGTGGGAAGGGTAGGGGAAAGGAAATAAGGGAAAAGAAAAAATATGAGAAAATGAAAAAATGGAAATAAAGTATTTGTAAATAGGGAAGGGAGGAGGGGGTGAAGGGAAGGCAGGAGTAAGGAGAAAAAATGAGAACCAAGACCTGTCATGTAAAGGTACAAGATCCCAATGATGAATGTAATTGTACTGTATACCTACAATGTACCAATAAACTCAATGAGAAAAAAAAAAAGAAAAATCTTTAACACTATTATGAACATTAAATAGTTTGGCATATTTTGTAGCTCGTGTGCCTTCAGCATTAGCCCAGACTGATTTTCCTATTTCTTTTGGAAAATGCCACTGCACATGAATCAGGTCATAGAGTTGAATCAGTCCCAATGTTGGGACTCTTCAGGGGGTGCCTAGGTGGGCGTCACATTTCTTTTGCTGCAGAGAGAGCTGTAAACTGACCCACTCATTCACCAAGGAAGAGTAAGGGGCTGAATAGTCTTGGAGAAAGGAAGATGCTGAATTTTAAGGGCTGCAGGAATAAAGGAGAGAAGGCAAGAGAGAGGCTGCAGGGGAAGGCTGTGATTAGGACTGGAGTTAGTAGAAAATTCCAAGGTGACCCATGAGTAATATCACCAGAAATAAAGTGAAGAAAAAAGCAACGGGGTACTTAAGAGGAAGAAGACTCAGGGGAGGAGAGAGAGAGAGAGACACTGCCCCAGGAATGAAGGTGAATTCCTGGGGTTGGCAAAGTCCACAGGGCTGGAGATGGGAGGCTTGAGGTTTGAATAGGGTTCAGCTGGAAGGCACCTGCTGCAGGAGCTGGAAGACATAGGGATGGGGATAAGGCAGTCTGCAGACAAACTTTTAACACACCCTGCTATATATGTTTGGAATGTCATTTTCACAAGCATGTGGTATTCTTCCTTACCCTTGGCATAGAGACAGTCTTTCTAAGGATGACTCGGAATCCAGAAGCAAAATAAAAGATTGACAAATTTAACTTCATAATACACGTAAAATTTTGCATGATGAAAACACGATGGACGAAAGTGGACTGAGAAACTAGGAGAAAATCTTCTTAGCATATACCATGGACAAGCTGCTAAAATCCCAAACATATGCAAAACTCTAAAAATTTAAGATTACAAAAACAAACAAGAAACATGAGAAAAAGAGATGAACAGGCAATTCACAAAAAGATGTAAAAATGGCCCTCACACGTACTTAATAGACATAAAGTACTTAATATATATAAAGTACTTATATATATTAAGAAACTACTTAATATATATAAAATTGGAAAAATTAAAGTAAACAGATATAATTTCTCACATACGAGATTGATTGAAAAAAACAGGGTAGGTGGGACAGAGACTCTGATACCCGCTAGTAGGAAAGCTTATTTCAGAGGGTAATTCGGCAATGCCTAACAAAATGCACACTTAAATTTAGCCTGGCAGTCCCACTTTCAAGACACCTCCTACTAGATAGTTCTCCAATAATACCAAAATACAAGTATACAAAAATATCGTCATTGCAACTTTATTTGTAGTTACAAGATATTGGAAACAACATATAGTTGAATAAACAATGGTGCATCATGTGTCCATACTGATGTAGGTAAATAAGTAAACAGCAGTTGTTCTTCTTCACAACAGAAGTTCAATTTCTCAGTATGGATGGAGAGAAGGAAATTAAATAAACTTTTGGCCAACACCACTAACAAATGACACAGACAAGACCCAGTGATGGAGGATAAAGTTAGCAAGAGTTTGAAGAGAAACAGAACTTGCATAGTCTAGGTCACCAGCTCATTGGTAAAGTCCTAGGAAGGACAAAGCACCACCTATGGGGTGGGTTTACCCAAATGCTAACTTCACTCCATTCATGAGAAAATGCTGGAAAAACCAGAATCAAGGGACAAATACAAAATCATCAGCCAGTGCTCTTCCAAAGGGTCATGTGGTCCTGGGACAAAGAAGGGACACTGGAGGACTCTAAAATTAAAAGAATTTTGAGTTGATGTTACTTTTTGAGTTAATATTATTGTAGCAATGTTAACTTCCTCCTCTTGCTGACTACCCTTCAGTTATGAAATAGTTAAACAATGGGAGATTCAGCATGAAGAATGTAGAGGATTCCTTGTGCTATTTTTACAACTCAGAAGTCTAAAATTATTCAGAATAAAAAGCTGAAAAGTAATGTTCTCAGTTTTCATCTCACTGGCTATCAACATTGTCATAGAAAGGAATAAAAAGTTAGATAATTTCTTCCCAGGCTACTATGATCTTGGTACCAGGCACTGAGAAATATATCTCTCCACATGGATACTCAATTCACAGACTTGAGTCACTTGGATAAATCTAGTTGGGGTGGGGCTTGCTCTCAGCAAAGATGCTGTTGCAAATTCAGAGGTTATTCTAATTCTGGCCAGCTTGATGTGGGCTTTTCTAAGCACTCAAGGCAGACGAGGAGGTAAGAATGCCACGGCAACACCACCACTGGGTGTTGAGGCTCACTTCATCATCAGACTGGGTTTCTGGTAGTGTCAAGATGCACAGGGTCAGAGTGTAAATTCTTATCTAGCAGATTAGGAATGGCAGGGGCGAACCCAAGGGGATAACGGGCCCGGCACAGGTCCCTTCCCCATTACTCCTTCTCTATGGCCCTATTCCTTTGCCCACTTGCTAGAGGAGGGAGCCGCCTGAAGGTTGCAGCAGAAGGGCCACTGTCTCAGCCCATCATGACATGATGCTCACAGGCACCTGAAAGTCCTGAGTCTTAGCTGCTTCTACCAGGAATGAAGAGATTGCTACCTCTCTTCTAAGAATGTCACAGAATCAAGAGTGTTGGTGAATATTTATGTGAACACAAACATACTTCAGAGACATGCTTCTCTTCTTTCTGCTAGCTAGAATTCTGCCTCTAACTAGCACAGGGCTTGGGCCAATGGAATGGCTTAATCCAAGTTTACTTCCTCATGGAGAAAATGAGACCCATAAAGCCTATCTCACAGGTTGGATTCCAAACGTACCATTGATGACAAAGACTCCAGCTGATATTCCTAGCCTTTCCTTAGTGATAAGACCAGCCAGTTGTAGAACCAACTGGATGAATGATGCTAAAATGCTATTGCAATGAATAATTATATATAATTTCTTCAGAAGATCTGATAATTTACGATACAAGGACAAGTGTGCCTTGTGGAACTATAGCAAAGACAGATGGCCTAATTCCCTGTGGGGTGGTGCAGCGAACTAGGTTTAGGGTTCAGTCCTCAGTCATGCCCTGCACATTTGCTTTTATGAAGTCAATCTACATTTTTGCACAGGGATTCAATGGTTTTAGATTCTTTTACCTTCAAATTAAGAGAGGGCTTTGGGAGTAACTTCTCCCAAGGAATGCCCCAGCCTCTGTGGAACATTCCACAGCCAGTCATCCCTGCCTTAGTTTCCCAAGGAAAGTCTTCCAACTCATGGTCCTTTCTGCCCCAGCTTCCTGCTGAGCAGCATCTGGGCCCCTGGGAACCACCCACAAGGAGCACAGGGCCCAGTGTGATGTCTCAGGCTCAGCAGGCTGCACTCCATTCCCCGACCTCATTTCAGCACCTCTTGCTTAGTAACCTTCTTCTCCAGGTCCATTCCAGAGCCCCAGCTTTCCTGCTCTCTTTTTTGTTTTTTCTGCTCTCTTTTAGATCCTCTTTAACTTCTGTCCTTTACTCTAGGCAGATGCTGTGTGTGTGTGTGTGTGTGTGTGTGTGTGTGTGTGTGTGTGAGAGAGAGAGAGAGAGAGAGAGAGAGAGAGAGAGAGAGAGAGCAAGAGACACAAGGTGCACCCCCTGGCTCTCATCACCTTTCAGAAGGGGCTTACTCTTTATGGGCTTGCTACACAGCCAGGCAGGCAGAGCTCCTCCAGGCCAGTCTCTCTGATCCCCTCCCAGCCTGCCTGGTACTCAAATTTAGCTTTCCCAAGACCCAAAGGGCCTCGCTCAGGTTCAGGACAAGACATACTGGGCCCTGTCTCCCTCTTTCCTTCAGCCTCTCAGGAAAGCCTCCTG